CAAGGACAGACACAAACACAGGAACAGACGCTGGCTCGGAAACAGACAACACACACACTGGCTCGGGGACAGACAACACACACACTGGCTCGGGAACAGGAACAGACTGGATTGGCCATCTTGTCTTTAGGCACTGGCACGAAGGAAGTGACATGAACAGACTCTGAATCGGCAGAAGGAACGTGAACAGTCTCTGAATCGGCCATCTGGTCCGTAGACACTGGCTTGGAGGCGGCCATCTTGTCTTTAGACACTGGCTCGGAGGCGGTGACCTGAACAGTCTCTGAATTGGCAGAGGTAACATGAACAGTCTCTGAATCGGCCATCTTGTCCGTAGACACCGGCTCGGCAGAAGTGACGCGAAGCGTCTCTGGCTGGACGGTCTCTGGATTGGCAGGGCTGACGTGGAGCTCGGGCTCGGCAGGGCTGATAGTGAGCGCCGGCACCGCACTAAAATCTGGCAGGGTGCACAGGTCCAGTTCGGCACGCAGATCTGACGGGGCGCAAAGATACTTCGACCAATCTGGCATGGCGGCCGCCATCCTAGGAATTATGATCAGCCGTGGATGTTTAGTTGGCCGGAGATCTCTTTCTAGTGCTCCTGGATTCATTTTGGTCGGTCGTTCTATTACGCTGCAGGCAGGAATGAAGCGGAGAATAGATCCAAATGCACTTTTAATAATAACAAAACAAACAGGAGATCCAGGGAACAACAAGAACAGGAACTCAGAACCGGAACTTAGGAACAGCAAACATTTAAACAATGACCAACACCCAACAACTGAAGCACAGAGGTTTAAATACACAGACAAACAAGATAAACAAGGTAACAAGGGGGCATGGTTAATCAGAAACACCTGGGGGAACTCATCAACAAGAAAAACTACAAAGGACTACAAAACATGGCACGGAACAGGAAATAGCAAAAGTTCACACAAGACAAGGGAAACAGACAGGAATCATTACAATTGGTAAGTGGTGAAATTAACATTAAGTAATAATATTATTAAACGCTGTAGAATTATTCCTCATTGTTATTTCATCTTAACTAATGTTAACGGTAATAAGTTTTCATTTGTTAACAGTTACAGTATTAACACTTTATGAACTAACAATGAGCAACACAGTTTTTATTAATCTTTCTTAATGTTATGTACAAATCACTGTTTGTTCATGTTCACAGTGCATTAACTCATTTTTAACAAACACAAGCTTTTAATGTAGTAAATGTCGAGATTAACGTGAAATAAAATTAATAAATGCTGTTGAAGTATTGTTCATCAATTCTTAGTTCATATTAAAGTAAAAATTTATAGGAAACTTGTCACAATGTATTCTCTTTTTTTTTTTTTTTCTTTTTTTTTAAGATACAGTAATGCAATGAAGTAAAGCAAATCTTTATTTTGGATTTGGGTTTCTGCTTTTGTCCAAAATGCATACATAAACATAATACAAATATAAAGATAAAACATGTGGCAGGTGGAGCTAACAAATGTAAGACATGACATACTGCTCGACGACAATCTATTTCACTCTGCCCTTACCTTCTTTTGAAGCTATTTTACCTTTCTCTCCAGTCGTATAAACAGACACAACATTAGGAATTTTGGATAAAGCCCGATTTTTTTTACAAAAATGTTCCAGTGAAAGAGTAACTGGCAGCAGGAGCGTGTTAACGGCCTCATTTGGAGGTGGTGTTGCCATGGGATGGAGCCTGCGGCTGCTGTTGCTGCTGCTGCTCCGCGAGCGCTTGCTGTAAGCGCGTACGCTTCCGGGAGTAATGCTGCCAATGTAGGATCTGCTGTTCGTCTATGAACTTGGCACACTGCGCATTCACCAGCTCTTTTCTGAAGTGCTCATACTGCAACAGCTCTAACATGTGCAGACAATGAGGATATCTAAGGGGAAAAAGATTAAGATTTAAGCTACATCTAATATGACAAATCACATAATCACCATGAGAGGAAAATTCATTTATTGAGAATTATTGGAGATATAGATGAGATCTGTTGGGGAAAGTTACATTTAAATATAATGTGTTACAATATTGTGTTACTCCTTAAAAAAAGTAACTAATTACATGTAAAGTAATGTTAAATTATTTGCGTTACTTTTTCCTCCATCTGACTGAGGCTCAATCTCTTGCAGGCTTTATAACATAGAACTTCGTTTTCTTTTGAAAACGCATTTTAAATATATATTTTTTTATATTCTGACCACTTGGAATATGTCCTGATACCTACAGCTATGCATTACAAAAGATCTCCTAACATTACAGGTTTCATATTCACTCTACAACACTTTTTATTAAAAGTTTATGGTGTTTTTCTTTTCTTTTTTTTCTTTTTTACTTTTGTGCTTTCTGTCTGTTCCCATACATGCATGAGTGTCTACATCATGGAGAAAACGCATTACCTTAATCTTGTGTGTGTGTGTATATATATATATATATATATATATATATAGAAATTTCCTTCTAGAATGATCATTTATCATTTTCATCAAGCTTGTATATTTAAGTTCAGTAAATGACAATTAATAGACAATCTTCATTGCCATTTAAGTGAAATTACTGAACTTAAATATACAAGCTTGATAAAAATTATCATACACACACATATCAGATCAGTAAAACATTTTACAGCATAAGACTTACTTCAGGAATTTAGCATATTCTGGTTCTTTCCAGTAAAGTAGATACTTCAAGTAATTGACAAAAGGCTTCTCTCTCAGGTAACCCCGTTGAGCCAAAACTGCAGGATAAAAAGCAGGATGTTATATGACATATTTAAATGCACAAAAGCTTGTGGGGAAAAAAAATTAAGACCAATCTACGAAATTGAACCATTGAAACAAAATTAGCTTAGATTCAGTGATTCAAACTGCTATAGATGAACCATTAACTGAAATATCTGAATCACTCTAACAAAGTATTTATAATATAAGCTTGTAACAAAGCCAATCAATGTCTGTTCTTACAGTTCAGATAGTTTGGGTTCGCTAGGCACTGAACAAACTCCAACTCCAGCTGGAAACGGTTTCTTGCCTGCTCCTCTGCGAAAAGTATGATTTTAAAAGGTTATTATTATTTAAGTAAGGTTATTTATTATTATAAAAATTACTTGAACGAAAATGCAACATATTTCGGTATGAATTCACCCCACGTATGAATTTACTTTCGCATAATGTAAATGGCATATGATACAAAAGACTAACATTAATTGTCACACTCAAATCAAACTTGTTTTGCAGTCTTGCGAAAGAATATAGTGAAATAACACGTTAATGGTCAACATCAACAAATTACAAACCTGTTTCCATAATCCCAGCCATGACAGACGACGGGAGAGAAAACTATCTTGCAAATGTAAATTTTAAACGGATCTTTAGGAGAAATATCTAAACCAAAATATGCCGTTTTTGTTTGAGACACCTACGGAGACGCCATGTTTGCCAGAAAACCAGTGCGGCTGGTGTCGTAAAATTTTCCGTCGTTGTGTAACAGTGAGTACGGTGTCATGACAACGGCCGTGCCATTTTTTAAATTTGCATACCGCTTTGCCCGCTTTGAAGCTGCAAGTAGGGAAAAGACATCTTATGGCTATTATTGTCGATGAATTTAAACATTAAAGCTACATTACAGACATATAAATAACTTAAACTGCTAACTCTTAGTTGACCATTAATATATTCTGTCAAACAAAGATGCGAAGATGTCATTAGTGATAGATTTAATGAAATAATGTAATTTGTGCTGCATATAATGGAACATAGATGAAATAGATCATACATTTTCATAACGTAATCGAAAAACCTACTACAGCGCATGCGTGTTAGCTCGCTTTTTGGGGGGGCTCCTATGTTTGGAGATGTGAAATGGTGTAAAACTTGGCGAACAGTGAATAAATTATGTTTTAAGTAAAATAACTCTCTTTTAAAATAACAATCTATCCTGTAAAAAGAAAAAATATAGCCAACTGGAACGCTTTAAATGAGATATTGATAACTTTTGTCCTCTCTGTAAAGGTAAAAAAAAAAAAAAAAAAACATTGCATACACAAGATTCATTTTTTTTTTCATTTGTATCGTATAGTCTGATAACTGAATTGTGAAGCATTACACGGACCTGAAAAGTTCCCCTACTTTTAATTTTCCTCTTGACAATAGATGTCACATTTTTTAAATGGCAATGCTTTATAATTTTAACACTTCATCTATTATGACTTTATCATAGATTTAATGTGCTAATGCAGTTCATTTTTGAAATACACAATATAAAATAAAATATATATAAAATATGTATATAAAATATTTATTTTATGGGTAATGTGGAAAAGAAGCTTATTTCATTACTCACAGAAATATAACATCTAATAGCAAATATATTTCAATTTCTGCTGTTTCCTCATATAGGCCAAACAATCTGGATGAAACATCATAATCTTCTATGCTTAACTTGTTACAAATTACATTTAAAACATTTTTTAAAAGTGACATATACCCCATCTTCACCTACTACAATGTTATAGATGTGTTCCTTTATAAATATCCCTAAAATGTCCTAAACATAATGTCAATTAGATTTAAAAACACAAATGTATACTGATTTAAAACATTGGCTATATGCAGGTAAAACAGTGTGTTTAAATGTATTAGTAGGAAATATGAAGAAAAAACAGTATTTTAATTTACATTATTAAATTTACATTGCAAAAGTGAGTTAATGAATCTTGAACTGTACATAATCACACTGTTCTGTCGCATGTGTGTACACAGTTGTCCACTTTTTAGATATTGTGTTTAAAAATCCACATTCTAACCTTTTGCCTTTCCACATATTCTTTTAAAGCTGCTTTTCAAGCAACTTTATTGTATAATTTCATTATTAATTTATAAAAAATTACATTAAAAACAACAACTGAACTGCACAGTCACAGCACAAGTGATGACACACTATCATCTCCAGTGAAACCAGCCACTGGCTCTGACCCTGCCTGGCCTCCTCAGTTGGAAACATGGCGAGGATAGTGCTGAACGGTGCAGTTTGAGCGGACAAAAGGAGGGGTTCAGTCTCTCACACATCTGTAGTGTTTGCCCAGCTGGGAAAGGTGTCTAAACTGAAGATAGATCTGCCCCAGCTGTTTATGGCTAAGGTAATGGAGAGGATGCCGATGATATTCATGACAATCCCTGTCCTGGCCTGCGGATAAAAGCAAATATTTGAATTACCGCAATTAATAGTTCTACATTCACATCAATAATGTTTTTCCAATTTCATTTCTTCATTTAATCTAATTGCCAAAGCATTTGCTTCAGATATCGCTGTGCATTTTTAAAGTTGTGTGACGGTTCATATTTAAAATCATGTTTTATTAATGGCTAACACTCACCATGTCAGACACTTTCAGGTATCCGTATGAGAAGACTATGGCGTTTGGAGGGGTGGCCACTGGCAGCATGAAGGCAAAAGATGCACTGAGGGTGCAGGGGATCATGACATACAGAGGGTTGATATGTATAGACTGGGACTGGAAATAAACAGAAAAACAATGAATAAGACCAGCTTATTTTACTGAGACATGGAATTGGATTTAATGCTATGTATTTAGTCCCTTTGAAATATATTCAAATAATAATTAAATATAGGCCTATATATTATAATAATGAAAAAATACATAGTTAAAATGATGTATTTAGCTGCATTCCGACCAGTCCGACACAACAACAGTAGCTTTATTGCAGCTTGCAGGCCTTATTTTTAAGACCAGTTTTGAAGTTGCATATCTGAGTTCTAGCTTTCTGTGTTTAGTAGTGATGGGAAACAAAACATTTCAAAACTTTGAATCAATTGGACCAATTTTTCACAAAACGCTTTTCCGCTTAAGCACTCGAAACGCCACACACTGGTGACCCCTGCTGGTCAGAACTGTGCAAATGCAACAAAAAACAACTTAAACATGCATAAACCAAATACAAATGTTTTATCAAATATAATCTATTAAATGCAATTAACAAATCATATAATGACATTAAATATGAAACGTCTTTATAATATACGTTATTTCATTAAAGTCCGCCTTAAGTCAATCATCTTATCCTTTAAAACTCATCTTTGATAACAAAAATGACATATTTTGTACATGCGGATGTATGAATATGCAAATTAGCCCCACCCCGACTCAATCACACCAGCTCAGAAATCCAATCATTGACGATCATACGTTGACGTGAATGGTTACAATGTGTGACGTCAGAAACACCAGTGACTTCAAACCGCATTTTTAAGACTCTCTTTGGTTCACGGATTTAATTTGATTTAAGGACTCAGCAATGGTCTTGACTTATGCATTTACACATGGTTTGTCTAAACAGCACAAAAAAACCTTAATTTTTCACCACAGAGGGACTTTAAATTGTAGGGATTGTTCTATGGTGAGCTTGGTTAATCTGGCCAAAAAGAGACCAACTAAAACTCTTCCTTTTTATTATACAAAAAACGTGTAATTGAAAATTTATAAAACTTTTTTTTTTTTAAAAAAAACAACACATTGACACAAATATCATCCCCTAGTGGCGAACAATTGAAATGTATCTATCACATCATACATTTTTAGTTCCTATTTCCTTGGTTTCTGCATACTGAATAGTTTGTTGCATATATGCCTCATTTCGAGTCGTCATTATCTCTGTGAATTATATTGTTTATGACCTGAAAACAACAATATTTCAGACAAAACAATAAAAAATATACACAAAAATATATAACAAACTCGTGCATCTATCTATCCATCCCTCCATCCATCCAAAAGCTGCAAAAATGTCCATGTCTACTACACTTTCTTCCTGCCTGAATGTTAACACATACAACATTTAATTTACAATAAAATAAAATCAATTCTTTATTGCCAAGTTTGCTCAAACAAACAAGGAATTTCTTCCGGGAACAGAAGCTTTCAATACGGCCTGTATAATCAGCCAATAGCAGACAGACGGGGTGTTACGAAAATATATTCGATAAGTCATTATTGTTGATCGTCGTTATTGTATCAAACAACCTTCTACGTTCTACAGTGATCTGGCTCTGTTCTCAAAGCAGGTAACAGAGGAGAATGAACAATGCTGGCACACAGAGGAGCGTCTGCGGATCTGCCTTCAGAAACGAGTGAGTTAGCGAGGAGTTGAAAACCCTCGATCTTCCCCCAATGCCAGTTCTTTCCCAATCTTCTTTTCTCTTTCTTTTTCTCAACTTGACAACAATGACACATCTCCATGGTTCTCCCATATGAGCCACTTCAGCTTACAAATCCCTCCATTCACAGGCTCTTTTGCAGAGGCTAATTCATGAGAAGAGGGCAGGAAGTGCCAACCGCACAGCAAGAGACAACGAAGGTGAAATCCAGAGAGAGATTTATGGAGGAAGAAGCTGTGCTTATTAAAAGAAAACGACACAATTAAGCAACTTCTTCATTTGTCTCTCTCTGGTATAATATAAATGACAGATAAACAAATAAATCTTTAATTCCCTTTAAAACCCAACGTGAATGCAACATGTGAGTTTGAAAAAATGTAGTTATATCTCACTATTGCAAAATCAACATGAAACAAACGTTAATAATATTTCAATCAGTGATTCAGATCTATACATGGCCATTCAAAATTTGTGGTCTGTATTATTATTATTTTTTTTTATAATATAATGGCAATGTTGAATTTTCAGAAGCCATTACTCCACTCAAAAGAACATTTATTTGAAATAGAATTTTTGTAAAAGTCTTTACAGGAATGGCTGAATCAAATTAATGTCCTTTCCAAATAAAAGTATTAATTACTTAAAATATTAAATTTAATATTATATACTTTAAATTTAATAATATATACTTTAAATATAAATATAAAATTAAATACCCTAAAATACCCCCCCCCTCCCCCCAAAAAAAAGAAAAAAAAAAGAAAAAAAATGCTTTAAGGCCTACTGAAGTGCCTTGAATCACACAGCATTTTTGTGTTGATGAAAGGTGTACGAGGAGCATGCATTTATTTATTTGCCAGCTTCACAGTTTAAGAATATTAGATGCGTACGTACCATAGATGCGAGTATAGGCAGAAATAATGTTGCTGTGGCCACATTGCTGGTGCATTCAGTGAAGGTAGCGATCATCAGACACACGACAATGGCAATCGCCCAGGGAGGAATACTCTGAAGAGGCGACAACTGATCTCCAAGCCATTTTGACAGTCCTGAGACCTGAGCATTGACCCAGATAAAAGTAAACAAAAACAGAAGACATGACGAGCGAGTGAAGCTGACATTTTATAAGGTGTTTAATTAAGAACTGCAGGTTATCTTTAGTCTTTCTCATGTCTAAATTATTAATTTAAAATCTTAATTTAAAGACACTTAATATACAATGAGAACAAATCTATTAAATCCTTTTGATCATCAGACTTATTGTTTAATAGAACAATACATACCATAC